ATTTTATGAAGTGTTTTCGATGGAATTTTTGGCCTGTACATCTGTTCATTCACGTAAAAATTTGAACCAAACCAGAGGTCGTTTTCCGTTGATTATCACCTTTAGCTCACCATCAATCTTCAGTTTTTATTTTATTTGTTCTATGTTTGCGATTATAAAGGAAGTACATCTATCCGCGGCACACCCTCTTCGCCGGATAGTTCTTTCCTTTATTGTTCTTCCTGCTCTGACCCCTAACTCTTAGCATCATTGGATATCATCGTTCACAGCTCGGTTTGACATCAAATAAGGAGACATTTTCGCGGAAAGGACATTTAATTATACAGATGTTTGAATGGCATGAGCATTCACTTTTAAGAGCCACAAATTTTCTTTGTCTCCGCACAAATAATTCCGGGTAACTCAAAAGTGCTCGATCGGTCGTAGTTGTCGTGCAACTTAAGTTATCTATAGGGGTATGTGGTAATATTCGTATATGCATTACCACCTCACTCATTTTCTTAAGCAGATGATATTCGCAACCGGCCTGCCTTATATCTTTCAATAGGGTCATCTTCAGTACTTTCCATGGCAGTGGGAGCGTATGTTTTATTTGCCATTGGAAACATCCCTGGACATCTTCTTTCCGTTCTTTAGGGTATCTAAATGTACTTTAGATGATTGTGTCTATGGCCTTGTTGGAAAATATAAACCACCCATTAACTGTGTTATGTTTCTGCGACGTCAACCCATTGCCGATTTTTCTTTCCATATATATAAAGAAAAATCGGCAATGGGTTGACGTCGCAGAAACATAACACGGTTAATGGGGGGGTTTATCTGGGGACGGGGTTATGCCTTTTTAATCACTCCTCTGGGCACAAATCATAAGTGACATTAACAGTCTTAGCTGTTGTTCGCTGAACATTAGAATAAAACCTTTGTTTTGAAATCGGACGAAATCGCTCCCACACATCAGCGGTCCTGTAAAAGATCATATTTATGGTTCTGTTTGCAGTTCGGTTTTATTTCTAATATCAACAGGGGTTTTATAGATGCCACTTTTGCATGTATCCTCCAAAAATCCCACAAATGGCCTTAACAGAGATCAGACTACGATCTTTCCACCATTTAGTAACAGACTTAGAACTCTTACAGCCGTCCATATATTGACAAGCAATCACCCATGAGTTTCTATGACGATGTAGCCTGCAACGGTCGAACCTGTCACTCAACTGGCACTGTATTTAATTCACTGACCAAATAGACCCCAGTCCACACCTCATGCTTACACATTTGCGTATCCATTGAAACAACTTAGTCGCTCCCCCGCATCATTGTCTTCGTTCTTTCTCGCTATCGAATGTTTGAGGAGGGTCGTTGCTATGTCCTGACTTTATTCATCAACCGTTTTCAAGAACACGTATCATAATTTGGAGGCAGAGCGCTTTCATAGACCTGTATATCATAATATGCATTTTTCTGTGATCAGCGATTCCGACACACCATTTCAAATCCTACCTCCCTGATAGCATTCTACTCGTTCAGGACTAGTTCGGTCACGGGCTAGTGTTGCGATCGACTGGATTTTTCAACAATCCTAGCAGACACTGTCCACACGAGGACAGTCGGTTGCCGCGCCTTCTCGGGCGAGTTGAGGGCGATTTAAGTCGCCATACAGGGGCCTAAATTCCGGACAAAGTGCGAGCGTACACCCTGCATGCGTACGTACGCGCAAAGGGACCCCAGGCGTGAAGTGCAAAACGCACTCCTGTGAGAATCAAGGAGGGGGTGTAGCAGAAAAGCTCCTTTCCTCGCACAGATCGAGCACGTTCAGCCACTCAGGTTGCCAGCCCTGTACTAGTCCGCAAGTCACACGGACTAGCAAGTATCTAGCCCTGGGCGACTAAATGCTATCAGGGCTTAAGATTTGGCAGCCTACTTTGTAGGCTACCTGGTTTTCCTGACAAATATACTGGTTGTAGGTATTTGCCGTGTTCGCGTTTTTCGTGTTCACCTTAGGCACGTTTTGACCTCTTTAATCATCGTGTTAGTCGACTCGGTGTTAATCAGCGTTCTCACTAATGTTTGTGTCGATTTAGATTTATTTTAACGCGAACACACTTATAATGCCAAAGAAAAAGACAGGGCAGAGGAAGAAGTCAGAAAAGGCCAAAGTCCGTCAGAAAGAATTATTTAAGAAGCGAATGCACATACCAGTCGCCAATCACAACTGCA